TTGGAGTGTTCATTGGCCATTTACATAGAGTCTATGCTTGCCTATTTGTATTTTCCCAATTTTCCATTTATATTGTTATATAGGAGTACATTATAAGTTAAGGATATAAGAACTTTTGTAATCTGCATTATATATGCTGTTTTTCTTTTTTTTTTTTTAAAAAAAAAAAACACTTAAGAAGTTCTGTTGAAAACGATAAAAACAGAAACACTAGATTCTAATTTTAAAGTAAAATTAACAGCATCTTCCAGAACAAAACTTTATTTTTTTGCAATAGTGTTTCAGATTTTTTTTTTTAGATGGAGTCTTGCTCTGTCAGCCAGGCTGAAGTGCAGTGGTGTGATCTCGGCTCACTGCAACCTCCACCTCCCGGGTTCAAGTGATTCTCCTTGCTCAGCCTCCTGAGTACCTGGGACTACAGGCACACGCCACCATACCTGGCTTTTTTTTTGTATTTTTTTTTTTAGTAGAGATGGGGTTTCACTATGGTGGCCAGGCTGGTCTCGAACTCCTGACCTTGTGATTTGCCCCCCCGCCCGGCCTCCCAAAGCGCTGGGATTACAGGGGTGAGCCACCGTAACACAGTCGAGTTTTAGATTTTTTTAAAAAATTAAATCTGGTTAATTATGCTACTTTATAAATTCTAGTCTTGACTCTGTGCCTTCCTCAGCCAAATAATAGATAAATATTTATATATTTTTTAATTTGAAGAAAATGTATCACCAGGTCCTTGATATGTTATGGTAGGAACTGTTATTATTCAGATAAAATGACTAAATGTTTTGATTACTGTTGGATAGACTTCCCTTATAATGAATATACACAGTTCTGTAAATGACAGATGAAAACTACACAAATATTGCCAATTTTACAAAATTAGAAGAGCAGCTTTAGTAATCAGCAAAACCAAACAAAAGAAACAAAAACTGAAAAACAAATAAATGTATTCTTTGTATTTTAATATTGTTTCCAAAGAATGTTAAAGACAATATGGAATATTAAGGACAATATTAAATACAAGACTATTAAAGAATATTAAAGACAATATAATTTAAACTTTCAAGAAAGAATATTAAAGACAATATTAAAAAAGAAAGAATATTAAAGACAACATAATCTAAATTATCAGTCAAAAAAGAAACTTTCTATCTTCTTTTCTTGCGTAGAAGAGAAAATGTAATATCTTTTGCTTATCTATCTCAAGATTCATAGCTGAGACACCTATAATAAAAAACAGATTAAGAAAACAAATACATACAAATTTATTTGACGTAAGTTTTATGTGACATGGAAACCTTCAGAAATAAACACCCAAAGAAACAGAATACAGAGAAGCCTGTGTATTTTATACTAAGTTTACTGAAGAAGTGGATAGTTGTGAAATACAGTTGGACAAAGCAGGTATGATCTAATTGTACTAAGCTGGGCCAGGGCCAGGAAGACTTAGCAAGGCCTATTTGTTTAGATTCTTAGTCATAAGGACATTTCTTTCATCTGGGTATTGGGAGGGTACCTCTTGCATAAGGGTCTCAGGACCTACTTTAGAAGAAGGTCAGAGAATTCTTTTATGGCCTGCTTCAGGGGAGAAAGGTCGGAGAAGGTCAGAGCAAGTCTCCTGCTTTTGCTGTTTTCTCAAATGCCAAGGAGCCATATATTGGGGGCAGTGTGTCTTAACCCTATCACTTGATAGCTCATCCTAGCTTCAGTTATTAGAAATTCTTCTGTGATTTCTATCTTGTTGGTTCTAGTTTTGCAATCTGAAGCCCTACAAAAGATGTCTAATATTTTCTATTCCACTCTATAGCTTTTAACTTTTTGAAGACAGCTTTTGTAGTCTTAAGTTATATGTTTTCCAGTTGTTTAATCATATTCATTTGTTAATTATTAAACAAATATTTACTGAGCACATATTATATGTGAAGGGATATTCTAGACTTTGGTTATAGTACGGTGAAAAATACAGACCCCACTGTAATAGAACTTATGCTCAAGCAGTTAAGAGCTCCTCATATTACACAATTTTTATACTCTTTAACACCTTATTGAGACTTCTATATTTATCCATTTCTGGTTTTTTGTTTTGTTTTTTGTTTAGGAGGGAAGGTCTTACTCTGTTGCTCAGGCTGGTGCGCAATGACATCATCATAGTTCGCTACAGCCTTGAACTCTTGGGCTCAAGAGATCTTCTGACCTCAGCTTGTAGATAGGACTACAGGCACAGGCCACCATGCCCACTTAACCTTTTAGTTTTGTAGAAATGGTGTCTCTCTGTGTTGACCAGGCTGGTATAGAACTTCCCACCTTAAGTGAAACTCCTACCTTGGCCTCCCAAAGTGCTGGGATTACGGACATGAGCCACCACACTTGGCCCAATTTCTTCTTTAAATGCTTTGCCTATAATAAACACAACATGATAGATATATGATCTAACTAGTGTAGCTATGGTGATGAACCATGTGTTATTTGTTTACCTAGAAATACTTTTCCATTGAATGCAATTGCGCTCCAACAAGTAAATCAACTTCAAATATAGTAGCAAGATGGGGTTAAATTTTAAACAACAAGATGAAGAAAAGTTGTCTGATTCCACTTCATAGAACATCAGAAGTTTACCTAGGGAAAGAATTTGAGACCAGAAGTCAATAACACTATAGAGGTGGTTAGACTGCAGAACTTTTTAGTAAACCATCCTGTAACAGAACTAGATTCTAAATCTTCTAGTACATACATAGAGGCTAAGGCTAAAATTGGAAGGGATCTGTCAATTATGTGTCTTTTTATTTTGCTTCAACTTTTATTTTAAGTTCCAGGGTACATGTGCAAGATGTGCAGGGTACGTGTGCAGGATGTGCAAGTTTGTTACACAGGTAAACATGTGCCATATTAGTTTGCTTCACAGATCAACCCATCACCTTGATATTAAGACTGGCATCCATTAGCTATTCTTCCTGATGCTCTCCCTCCCACCTCACAATAGGCCCCAGTGTGTGTTGTTCCCTTCCATGTGTCCAAGTGTTCTCAAATTTGATGTCTTTTTACTTTATAATTGACCTGCTTCTTGTCTATGTTCTGCCCCATTTATATATATTATGTAGTTTGAGGTTGTAGCCTTTGCATTACAATGACTAACACAAGTAGAATATGAGTCCATGCTTTTACCTATTAAAAATTAAAGTGATAATGACTAAGAAATTATTAAAGGGATCTATATCTTCAATAATGAGTATAAATGCTTATCGATAGAAAAATAGTGAGGTAGCTATAGAAGGAATACAATTTCCCACTCCATATTCTTACTAGGGCAGCAATTACATGTTAGATTGTACAGTTTTTCTCACTTTTTCCTTCTCCACTTACGGTATTGAAAGTCATTAGTTTAGAATGAGTTAAAATGAGAGAGAGGGTCATTGGATAAGAATTTGGATGCCTGCTGCCTGTCTCTGAAGAGGAAAATAGAGAGCAGTTAACTGTAATTGGCGGTTCACTGACTTTGGCAGTAGCCTTTTGTGCTAAGAAACTTCCCTGGGAAACAATTGAAGACTCTAACACTTTCATACAGATTCCTGAAATGCTGACAGGATGTGCTCATAATTCTATAGAAATGCCATATAAGTAGAGGAGTCATTGCTTGGTATTCCATTGAGAAGCTGTTTTTCATCTCTTGAGTAACTTCTTTAAGTTTCTCATGAAGCAAGCACAAAAATTTTCCTCTATAAAACTGAATAGGCAGAGGGTTTTTTCAACTACGCAGTTATATAAATGCCCATGCCACTCTCTTTTGACACATGGATGTCAAAATAGGTTAAGTTATCCTGAAAGCATTCAAGTTCGCATGGCAGGAAATAAAATTTTACATTTTTTTAGTAATGGGCTCAAAGTAAAATATATCATTTAAAAAATATTTTAAAACCTATTAAAATATGGCATTAGGATGATCATTTTAATGTTTACTTCCCTTTATTAATGTAGTATAGTATCCAATTATTAATATTTTTATATTTGAATTTAAATTTTAGTTACAATTTATAATTTAAAGATATTTTCATTTTATAAAGATATTTTCATTCATTCATTTGCCATTTAACAATTACTTACTGGCACTTAATGTTCCTAACCAATGTTAGGCACCATTGATGCAATGCAGAGTTCCAATTATGGAGAATTTGGATAGAACAAAAATATGCAAGATTGTGGAATGCATTGGTAGCAGATGAAGTGGTTAATTTCTATGTCTGGAGAGCTAAGCAGAGATCATGAAGGTAACAAAGAGTTAGTACTTCACCTCTAGGGTAGTGGGAAACTCTTAAAGGGCTTAAGCAGGGAATTAACATGATTAGATTTGTACTTAAGAAAGATCACTTTTGGGTACTATGCAGAAAATGGATTGCAAAGAAACCGGAAGTACAGAGACTAGTTAGGAAGCTGTTGTAATAATGTAAGCAATGATGATAGTGTCCACAGTAGGAAGAGGCAGCTTATAGGCAGGTCTTCTCATCAGAGAATATGTGTGAGGTCAGGAGGGAACAGGCATTGAAATTGTTAGAAAAATAATCTTTAAGATGAATTGAGGACAAAGAACCCACAAAGATGCTAGAAAGGGTGGCCAGAGAAATGGGAGTAAAACCAGAAGATTGTTTTGGGGTTGTCAAAAACAAAATGTTATACTGCGTTAATTATATACCTGAGAAGAAAAATGCTTTCATATTTGTATTAGGTGAAAATAAAGCAGTGGCTCACTTTTAAAAATAAGGCAAAACATTTTTAAATTATCACTATTATTTGGTTGTCAATAAATTAATAGTTTTTTTAGGGAAAAGAAATTGCAGCAAACCTCCTTTAATGGAGGCTCTGTCAGAGATTTCTTGGGGCTTGGTATCACTTTGCATGGGTAATGAGGCTAATCTATCAGCATCGTCATGTTATTCCAGTGAGGCAGTGATGATAAATGCAGAGTATGCGATAGTGCCAGAGCTTCTCTGTTATTAATTACCATCTTACAGTTATCTTCAGACATTTATTAGCAACATTGAGACGTGGTTTTAGCAGTCTATCATAGTCGATTTAAGTAAGAGGCTTCTAAATCCCAGCAGTTGTTTCCATTAGTTGACAGACACATTATGAGAAATATGACCATGTGTTCTACGCAAGTCCGAAGAGCCAGTTACACCGTGTTATCCCCAGGGTTCACAGGTCTGCAGGGAAAAGCAGCAGCCACAAAATTAACAAAGGACTACTTTTCATTCAGGCCTATATTTCAAATAACATTTTACATATTATCTTTGTAGTTTTTATTAATAATACCTAATATGTATGAACAAAATGTGATTTTTACAGTTTCTGTCTTTGTCAGTTTAGGCTGCTATAACAGGACATCCTTGACAACTTGACTACACACTAATTTATTTCTTGAAGTTCTGGAGGCTGAAAGTCTATAATCGAGGTGTCAGCGGGGTTGGGTTCTTGGTGAAGGCCCTCTTCCTGGTTTGCAGACGACCTCTTCTAGCAGTGTCCTTCACATATCCTTTCATAGAGAAAGACCAGAGCTCTTTCTCTTCTTAGAGGTCACTAAGTCCATCATGGGGGCCCCAACCTCATGACTTTATCTAAACCTACTGACCTCCCAAAGGACTCACCTCCTAATACCATCCCACTGGGGGTTAGAATTTCAACATACCAATTTGAGAAGGATGCAAACATGCAGTCTGTAAGAGTCACTATTCAGGAAATTCTTATAATGGTCCTGTAAAGTCAGTATTTGCAGTGTCTCTGGTTAACCAGCAAGGGACCAGAGGCCTCAAAGTGGTTCTGTTTACCCATGTACATGTGCGAGAACTTGACCTTGAATGTAGGCCTTTCACTTGGTCATTTGACTTTTCCGGTGGTTTTAAAACCTGTTTATATTTGAGCCCAGAATGTTGTCTATTAAAAAACTTAATCCGGAACAGTTCCACCCCTGTTTCAAAGGTTCTGATGTACCTTTTCAGAATTTTTATGTCTTTTCAAAGCTACTTTTAAACTATGTGCAGGTCCTTAAGCTTTTTCCTATTTAGGTAAACTGGGGCTCTAGTGCAAAAAAAGATGAAGCAAAGAAAAGTCTAATCTAACATATTAATAATTTTTTTAAAGATTTATGTTTATTGAATACAATTCGGTATTGTCTAGAAATTTTTTAAAAATTGTATTTCTGTCATCACTTAATTTCTTTTAATTTTTAAATAATTTTAGACTAGAAAAGTTGCAAAAATAGATCAGAATGTTTATGTATTTCCTTCACCCACCTTTCCTTAATGTTAATATCATACATAACCATAATTTATGTACTTACATAGTACATTTATCAAAACCAGGAAATTAACGTTGCTGCATTACTATTAAGTAAACTACTATTAAGTAAAACTACTATTAAGTAAAGACTTTATTATTTGTTCACCAGTTTTTTCCGCTAACATTCTTTTTCTGTTCCCTAACCCAATCCAGCATCCCACATTGCATTTAGTTATTATAATTCTGCTCAGTGTACTCCAATTGGTGACAATTTCTGAGTCTTGTCTTGACATTGTTTAAGCGTAGATTGTTGTTTTGTAGAATGCCCCTCAATTTGGGTGTGACTGATGTTTTCTCCTGATTAGATTGATGTTATATGTTTTTGGCAATAACACTACAGAAGTGATATTTTGCCCCTCTCAAGGAATTACTTCAAGGAGTGTATGAAGTCTTATTATTGGTGTTGTTGACCCTGATCAGTAGTTAAGGCAGTGTCTGCCAGCTTTTTCCACTGTAAAGTTATTATTTTTCTTTTTATAGTATCTTGGGGGAAAGATTTTGAGACTGTGCAAATATTCTGTTTCTCCTGAAACTTTCATTCATTAATTTTAGCATCAATTAGTAGATCTTGCTAGAAGTTATTACTGTGGCATTGGCCTCATGATCGTTTTATATTTCCCTCTTTCCTTTTACTTTTATTAATTAGAATTCTAAATGGAAGAGGCTACCCTTTCCCAGATTTATTGATTCCATTATTTGTATTTATCAGTATGGACTCACGGATATTTACTTTATCCTAAGGGTGTAATCCAATATCATTGTTATTTATTTTATTGCTCAAATTATTTTGGCTTTGATCATTGAGAGCTCCTTCAGTTGGCTCCTATGATCTTTTTATAAGCTGCCCATCCCTCTTTGGATATTTTCTTATGGCAAAACAAGATATTCCAGGCTCATCTTGTAGTGTCCCTGCCTCAGTCCTGGTATCAACTACGTTTCTAAGAGGACTTTCTCTTTTTGGAGAATATATTTAGAAGCCAAGATCTGGGTGTTATGTGTGTGTCATTGCTTCTAGGCCCTTTCAGTGGACAAAACTTAGAAATATATGTATGTATACTACTAACCCAGGCATACATGCATTTATATTTCTTTCTTTCTGTATCTATCTGTTAACAAACAAACAAGTAGGAGTTTGTATTGAAACCCCAGCCACGGGTCTACAGCTGAATTGATCACATAAACTGTTCTAATTGAAATCCTTAAATAATGAAATTTTCAAGGTTGCCAGCTCTAAGTGCACTAGGCTGTGAGTGAACATTTGTGCTTTCTTTTCAGATTTGCCAGAAATCAATAGTATCACCTTCATCTCTCCTTTTCTGCCACCTGAACTATAGAAGCAGAATAACAATGCCTGCCCTATCTAGGTCACCAGGCGGTTTCTTGGACTTAATAAAAGTCTGGATTCTGTCTACCCTTCTCTGTATTCCTTCTTTCCCAGTTTTCTTCTGTGCCTCCGGTCTTGTTCCCCTCAAAGCTGTCCTCTGCTCTGCAGTCAGAGTAATCTATCAGAAATTAAAATCAGGTTCCATTTCTATTCATCTTTAAACTTTTCAGTGGCTTTTTATCTGCTAAGAAAATAAGACCTAACTTGACATGGCAAACAAGGCCTTCCATGGTCTGATTCTTTCCTCTTCATGATCTCTTGTTATTTTTTATTTCCTGTTTTAAGCTCTAATATTACAACATTGCTTGAGATCATCTCTGCCCTCTTGCCAACAGCATTCTTTCTTCCAACTCCTTGCTTTTCTGATGCTATTTGGCTAGAATCAGATTGGAACACTCTTGACAGTGTCTCCTTAGTTAAATTTTACCTAAATTTCAAGGACTAATTCAGTGTTTACCTTATTATGTATTTGGTCAGTTCAGTAAGTACTTTATGAGGTGGATGAGTTGTCATTTCTTTCTGTTACCATTTCCTCAGTACCTTGTCTGACACCAGAAGCCACTGTAGTTTTTCATTTTATTCCTTATCTAAAATTGCTCTTGATAAGGTCCTAATTACCAAATCCATAGACAGTTCTTGATCTTATGTAACTTGACTCTAAAAGTATTGGACACTAGAGGTAATTGGTGGTTGCCATGAATAGCCCGTGGTTGCCATGTAGAGGGTCATAATGGTGCTGCATGATTGTTGGGAAGGCTTATTTGGGAGAAGAGTGGTGTTGAGAGACAAGGGTGGAAGGGTAGACAAGGGCCATCTCTTATAGAAATCAGAAACCACAGTAAGGCGATCACATTTATCTTGAGAACCACCGAGAACTGTGTAAAAGGTTTAAATGAACAAGCTTGTGTTTTAGGAACATAATTTATGGACATGAATGAATTTGGCAAGACTAGAAGGCAAGTGAAAATGAAATAGGCAAAGACTGGAAGGAAAGGAAATTAAGTTGTTGCATAATCCTGGAGTAAGATCATGCTTTATATAAACTAAGATAGCAAAAGCATGGGAGAAAATGGATGCATTAGAGATACTAGATAGAATCAAAATAATCTGATGATGACTTGGAAGTGGGGGATGAGAGATAAGAAGAAATAATAGTTTTTGTTTCTTATTAAGTGATAGAGGAATTTCCTGAGATTGGGAATTTAAAAAGAGGAATGGCTTTAGGAGAATGAGATGGTGACTTGGTTTTTGGAAATGTTGTTTGATACACCTGGGGACCATCTAAATGAACTGTCCCATTGGCAAGTTCACATTTTTTTACAGCCTGAAACACATATGGGGGCAGGAGACACAGGTTTGGAAATAAAGGCATGTTGATGGTAGATGAATTCATGTTTGTTGGTAAGATATCCCAGGATGTCTCCAGTGTGTAAAGGGACTCTCCTGTTTATCTTAGTGTGAACAGAAGCACCACCTACCCATTTTACCCAGCTAGAAACCTTGGAGTCATGTTCAACTGTACTGTCATCACTAAGTCAACTCATTTTGATTCCATATCCCGCTTAAGTCCTGTTTATTCCAGTTGCCTTTGCTTAAGCTTGGGCTCTCAGAATTCCTTTCATGAACTACTTATTGTTCTTGCTGGTCTTCAGACTGTCCACTTATGTGCTTTGTATCCTCAGAATATAACCTTATTCATACTAAAAATGTTAAGGTATTTTTGAAAAGTATAAATGCTGAAGGAATATAAATTAATAAGTTTTACCTGAGGTTGAAATGCCAATTTTTGTTTTATAATAATTTATAGGTGAGACTAAACAAAAAAAAATTTACTCCCTTTGTGGGTACCTAATGCCATCTATCATGAGTAAAAGAAACACTGCCTCTCAGAGTAAGTCTTGGAGAAATATCTTATTATTATCTGCGAGTGATATATGAAAGTTGATCTTGATAAGGGGATAAGAGCTGTTGTCCTGAGACAAGTGGAAGAAAGAAAGTCAGAGAGGACTTATCAGAGTAATTGTGTATTTTTCCCCAAATTTCTGACATGATATTAGAGGCAGTAAGCTACAAAATTGCAATGGCCAGCAGCCAAATTGCATCCTTTACCTGGTAGCCAGCTGCAAGATGGTGAGGAGTTTCTATGCATGCCACCTCACCACCTGCCAGGACCTGGTATGGAATACATAGTAGTTCTTTCACGAATGCTAAAATGGCTAGTAATTTAAGAGAATGGAGTAAGCAACAATTGAGAATATTGTAACATACTTAACACTGTGCATAGAGAAAACCAAAAAAGAGAAGATAAATTCCAAAGAAGAATTTGATACTTTTCTGAGTTTGTTGAAAGGCAGGACCTAGATAAAGGTAAGGGTAGGGAAAATATTAAAACTAATTTTGATTTAAAAGCAATATTTTTTGGGTAAAATTTCTTAGCCAGTTGAGAGGTCTTTACTTTTTTCTGCTACTTTAAATGCTCCTTTTCTTTGTATGAAATATCCAGAGACAACTTGTTTTCCTATAATGAGAGTTTTGTTTTCACACCATCAGACAGAGGACACTCAGAAAAGCAGCAGAAAACAGATGTTTAATTCAGACTTTAAATGGCAACCTTGCTTATAAATATGGTGGGGTTTAGAATATTGAGATCAATGAATCACCACAGTAGTGTTGTGAATTTGGAGTAAGGTAACATAATGATATTTGTAACATATTAGCATATATTTATTGAGAAATAAATATGCATCAGATGCTGTAATTGATGGAGAGATACCACAGTGTATAAAGCAAGGCCTCTGTCCTCAAAACACTTACCTTCTAAAAAGGGAGATTGACAATAAGTGGGTATTAAACAAATATGTATTTCATGTCAAGTAGTGATAGGCGCTGTAACAAAAAGTGAAACTACACGTGGAAATAAAGAATAAAAGAGGAATTATTTTGGAAACGAGACAAAATGCCCCAAAAAACATTTAAAAGTTCATTTAAAAGTCTTCTAAGTATTTTATTTATATATGTGGAGGGAATATCATTTGGTCTGTGACACCGTATATTGCAATCCATGTAAAAATGGGACGCCTTCTCTTGTTCATTCTAAGGTCGTTGGCTCCTGATTTTTCTGAGCCCTAGTAGTGAAACTTCTTCAATAAAAATAACATAGAAAGATATAAATTGGCCAGCACGGTGGCTCACACCCGTGATCCCAGCACTTTGGGAGGTTGAGGTGGATGGATCCCTTGAGGTCAGCAGTCTGAGACCAGCTTGGCCAACATGGCGAAACCCCGTCTCTACTAAAAATACAAATATTAGCTAAGTGTGCTGGTGCATGCCTATTATCCCAACTACTTGGGAGGCTGAGGCACGAGAATCACTTGAGCCTGGGAGGTGGAGGTTGCAGTGAGCCGAGATCATACCACTACACTCCAGCCTGGGTAATACAGCAAGACTCTGTCAAAAAAAAAAAAAAAAAAGAAATGTATTTTTTGTGTCTTGGAAAAGCCCTCATAAAAAAATTGATGACACCTATACAAATTATTGCATGGAATTATGTTCTTAGTTTTTATTCCCAGCAGCAGGAAGTACTTTAGTGCTTGAATTAAAATTCTAAGTGCACTCCCAGAGGACTAAAGGCCTGAACCAGGAAAGACAACTGTCCTCACTTTGGCTTCTTCAGGGTGAGGGGAGGCTGAGCAGAGTCCTAAATTCATCTTGGTTATATTTTGCACCACTTTACATTTGTAATCACTTAATAGCTACGCTGGGGAAGTCTTTTAGGACTCAGTAAGAGCTGTCAATTTTCCCTTTAAAGAATGGTGATTATATTTCTATAGAGTCTGGAAGTGCCCCTGTCAAACAGAAAGATAATGTGTGCCATATATGTAGTCTAAAATTTCTCAGCAGCCACATTAAAAAAGTAAAAAGAAACAGGTGATATTAATCTTAGCAACATTTCATTTAACCCAACACATCAAAATATTATCTTTTCAATATGAAATCAATATAAAAATTATTTGTAAATATTAAGTCTTTGAAATCTAGTGTTTATATTACACTAAGACCATCTCAGTTTGAATTAGCCATGTGTGAAGTGCTCAATAGCCATGTATGGCTAATGGCAACCATAAGAGCACAGTTCCAGAAGCTTTTATGTTTTGAATCAACCTTCCTTTTATTTTAGTTTATATTTTATTTCTGAACATGTTTTAAGCCACAGAAATCCTTTACATTTCTTCCACATGTGTGCTCACAACAGATCTATTTTGATCATGTACGATATGGAGACGTATACTAACTGTGTTATTCCCTCCTCCTCACACCATCAACTTTTGTCTGAAGCCAAAAGCAAATCAGGCTGGTGAATAATGGAACACTAACAATATTATTGATCAAAGAAATGTGCTTTGCAGATCTAAGCCATTCAGGATCTCAAACACATGACACTCAATCTGCAACGGCTCTCTAATTACAAAAGTCAATCGAATGCTATTGCTTAGAAAACAAGCAGCACAAAAGATTTTTGCTAGCTTAAATTACAAAGTGTAGTTTTGTGAATAACATTAGGCTGTCTCCTGGAACCCAGAAAATGGTTGGATAATGAAGAATCAGGCAGTACATTACTCCACACCCCAGTATGTGTGCTCAAAAACCTTACTGGACAATTGTCATTTCAAAATACTCAGCTGTAACAATGTCCTGCTTCTGAGTTCATTTATTTTAAATATCACAATCTTGAGAGAGAAAGAAGGAAAGCTGGCTTGGCCCAGCTTACATCAGGAGTCCATTGCTGGACCATTCAGCTAAGAAAAGAGTGCATAGTGATATGCTAAAAATAATTATTGGAGGCCCAGCCTGGTAGATCAGAGATCACTCTCAGAGAGGGAAGAATCACTGGCGGTAACAATGTTTTGCCCCAAAGAACAAGAGCCATAGGAGATGCTAACATGGAAATAATGTTTACATTGCTAAATTCATGCCTTACATTTTGTCTAGTATACTAATGACCTGTGCCTCTTCATCTGTATTGCCAAGAGCATAGACAATGGTAGCATTCCTTTGTATGAATGACTATATTCTAGTTTTTCTAAGAGTGTAGAGCTAGTTCATTTCAAAATAATTCAAGTGGCAGCTTCATTTAAACATAGATTTAAGAAAGCAAAGAACTAGTGTAACTGTGAAGAATAAATTAAAATCTCAGGATATATCAAGTGAAAATCCTGAAAGACTAGAGAAACAATGTGGATTAAGAATGATTAATTCTAAAAAGACGTCCTTGAGTCATTTTGGAGTGGATTCTTGCTTTTCCTTTATCCTGTTAAATGTTTGTAGTAGCAATGATGCAACCTGACGTTATACTTATATTAATTTGTATATTTGTTTATTGTCTTCTTATTCCATTAGCACTTATACTCTATGATAGTAGAGCCTACTACCTATTGCCATATTCCCTGCACCTAAAATAGTGTTTGGCACATAGCAGGCACTAAATAAATGATTGTTAAGTGGATTAGTAGGTGAATAAAAACATGAAATTTTCTATGTTTTTGTTGTTAGGACCAAATAAAAATGGCATGTGGAGATTTAGAGCTGAAAATTACCTTGGGAGTTATTTCAATTCTCAGTTTAAAACTTAAATAATTGAAGCCCATGTGAATGTGCCTTTGATTTAGGAGA